GTTGATAGACAGGGGAAGCCCTTTGCACGATTTCGCGATTCTCTTTCCCGTTTGTTCCAATTCGGGAGGGCAGCATTCTTTCCCGAAAACGCTTGTACGCAATAGTTTCCAACTGTTGTACTCATCCAGGAATCTCATTTTAACAACGTCAACAGAGCCGGCCATGTAAAGAGCCACGTTATATATCCGAGAAGTTATCACGACCCGACTCCCGTTGCTATAATCGGGGAAGAAGAACTTCATTCGGTCCCAAGCCTCGACGCCCCATAAGTCGTCCATAACTACTAAATACCTCCTACCCGATAAGCTCTTGTACAGTAACTCTCCTAGCTCGTGTTCCGTCTTTCCGCACATATATTCTCTGCTCCCCATGTTTTTTAGACAGACGAGACCTTGCACAAGGATTTCCCGCACACTATATTCTTGGGAAATCGTAACCCATACAAGAAGGTCGAAATGTTGCACGATAAGTGGGTGTTCGTAAATACCTCTGGCGAGTGCAGTCTTACCAGAGCCCCCCATGCCAACAATGGGGATGATCTGGCGGTTTGGTCTTTGTCCGATATTGGTTAGCTTATCCATGACTTTGATTAAAACATTATCAACACCCACTAAGATGCTCTTTTTCCCCATGATGATAGAAGGAGATCTTTGTGAACCAGCAGGCGATGCTTCGTTTCCGGGCGGCTCGATTTTCGTAATAATCTTCTCTTTAATCTCCATCACGTCCCTCGTGATTAATTCCAGGTCGCGTACCACTTTCTGCAAGCCTCGACACAGCAAGTCGTCATTCGAGCGGATGTTAGGTTCCCGGTGAGCTCGAAAACGGTCGACTATATGGGATTCGATCACGTCCTCTGTCTCGTAAGCTGCATCGGCAATGCGGCTCTCTAAAGCATCCGCTTCTTGTCTGTCGACGTGATAGGAATAACTTTCAAGAAAATCCTGCAAGAAAGCAACTTTCTCTGTTAGAGATCGAACCGATTTTGGGTCGAGAAAGATTGGAGGTTGAGGATGGTTCTGGATTTGGTGGATAACATTCGTGACAGAAACTAGAGCTGCATAAGCAGCAGCCATTGATCACACGAAATGAAGCCGAGAAAAGGAGCAAATCTGTATATTATTGATCAAGAACTGATCTGAAAGGCTGCTTCACAAGACTTAGTATTTTTATCTCTTATTATTGATCATATAAAACATGTAATAATAATGTAATCTATTAATTATTTGAGCATGACTTGTCCATGATACTGATTTTTATAAACAAGAAAATGGGCTGTCTTTGATTCTCTATGATCCCTTCTTTTTAAAAAAAAAAAAAATTCTATGGAAGTATGAAGAATAAAAAAAATAGGCCATTTGAAATATAATAATATTTGCTTGATTTTAATACAGACGTAGTTGTAAGGATATCTGTAGATCTGCTTATTTTTTAATATCGGATAGTTAATCAAATAGTGATAACATTAAATTCTTTTTTTTTTTTAGTTTCTCTTATGTTCAACTTATAATATTTGATGATTTATAATGGAAAATGTTACAGTCCCATTACGGAACCATTCCGTCTTGATTTGTAATCGTTAGATCATCATGTAACCGTCGAGAATAGTTGATCTAACAGTTACAAACCTCGACGGAATGGTTCCGTAACGGGACTGTAGAATCTCCCGATTTATAATATAGATTAATGTGTATAAATGTCATATTGTGGCTTGTGGCTTGGTTTTCACTTTCAGCGTGATGTATTTAATGGGACTGAATTTATTTTCATGACTTGTGAACACAGCTTTAACTTGATCTTGACAAGAGCCGGTCCTGTGTCGTTTTAAGTCGTGGGCCGAATGTCAAAGTATTGCCTCTAATGACTAATCTACACTGAGAAAATGACATCATCTACAAATTTTTTGAGTTGTAAATTTATGGTTTTTTTTAATTGTAAATAAACCAATTTTTACTATACATAAATGATTGATTTGTGTTTTTTTTAATATGTTTCTAAGTATATCATTGTTTAGTTTTTAAATTCGTTTATCTATGATTTTAATTTTAATATTGTAATTTTACTACAAAAAAAAAAAAAAAAA